AATCTGCATGTTGTTGCTGCATTACGTTTTTGAAAATTGTTTCTACTGACATCCAGTCTGTGGGGTGGGATTATGAAGAAAAAGATTCCACTGCAGTGAGTCTCTCTCACTCAGAGCACTAAATACCCTTCCTTTGTCCTTCAGGAGAGAAAAGGAAAGAATTTTTGTAGAAGTTCATCCCAAAAGTGCAGAGGTATTTAATACTAGTATTTACGGTACAGAGACATAATAAACAGAACCAAAGGCAAAGGTTTTCCTTACAGTTCTGAATCATATTTGTTTATGCCTTGGAAAATGGGACCAGATTCTTTGCTTGCATAGCTTGCATATTGACTTATATGGAGTTGTGATAGTAGTTGCTTAGCTGGAAACCTAGGCCCTTTGTGGAACCCCAGTACCAGGAGAGGCTATGGGTTAGGTGTGCTCTTGGATTTCTAGAGTATTCAAGGTGTCTTGAAAGTTGTGACTTTATTCATAGCTGGTATCTTTGAATGGAGGGTCAACAGCCCCAAGCCTTACAAACGGACTGCCGACTGCCTTGTATATATATTTGTAGGGTCGTAATGATGCCAAATCCTTGCTCGCAGGGTCCATCCTGAAGTGTTCTCAGAGTTTCTCTTAAACTAGCCAGGTGTCTTGACCATGTTCTTCCCAGTGCCTCACTTGATGCTAAAGAAAATGTATTCTTTGAAGTAATGAGAACTTTGCTCTGTTATTTTCAAAGGAACCAGACCTTTCTGGCAGTCCGCTGCACATTCATGACCATATCCAACCTAAAGAAAGGCCAAACTTTTCATCACAGTGATAGTTGCGAATGAATAATTCAGATTTCATAATACTGGTTAGAAGTTTTGCGCAGTTGAATTGGATAGTTTGTTTTTTTTTTTATACACTTATCAGTTGAATCAACTGAAAACTCACTTTCAAATGAACACTTATTAAAACAAAAGTTTACAAACAAAGTTTATTTAACAATATGAAGTATTACTACTTCTTCAATACTTTTTATTCTTCTTTTATTTTAGGTACTATGATTCTTCAGATTTAAGGAGGAGCAGTTTCTCTAAATGGGATGACAATCCAGATTCTTTTTGGAAGACAGAAAGTAATAATAGAGATGTGGATGTAATGTTAACTTCAAAAAGTTCAGGATATTCAGACAGGTATACCAAGAAAACCTAATTAACTGTTATACAAGAGAGCTCAAGCTTGTTAATGTGATTTATGTCATGGTCAAAGCAGTGGATTTTTTGGGGTGTAAGAGGAGAAGAATTTGGCCGTGACTCTGATCAGCAGTCAAGGGATTTCCTGGCTGAATTTCTTCTGTTTAGTTATTTATGTTTAGTTGTTACATTTGCTCAGTGCTCTACAGTATGTGCGTTGGAGGTAATTTCCAAAGTGTCTCATCAAAAAAGCAAGTAGGCAAAACAAGTTATGGAGAGAACCTCAATCATTCGAGTGTTCTGAGAAGATACCTGCTTTACGTGCTCTTTTTATTGCCTAATGAACCAAGCAGGTCCAAGTCGCCAAATGAAAGCAATTGCAGGTAGTCAACTCTTGGGATTAAGATATAGAGGATACTTGTGAGCAACAAGTCCCTTTTTTTTTTTTTTTTTTTTTCCATGATAAAAGGTTGGTGTGTTTCTTCTCTGACAACTTTGTTTTTATCTTTGTAATCAAGAGGAAGATTTAAGAATGTGAGTTTTTGTTTGGCTGATGTTTCCTGCTTGTAAAGATAAAATTTCATTGTTTGTTTGCCTGCACCGTGGAGTGTGTACACTAAGGTTTATTATTAATTATTATTATTTACACAAACATATTATGTTGTTTCCTAAAGATTGGGCCAATGATGTATATCCATAAAATGTGCATTAATGTTCATAATTTAATGTATATTACTTCCTTATTTGAGCATGTTAAAAAAAAAAAAAAAAAAAGAAGAGTTGAACGTGTATGTTTGCTGAAATGGAAGGTAATGACAGTTCATAGGATGGTAAACCTCTTTGAACTGTTAGGTTAAACATGAATTTCACTGATGTTAGGGTTCTTTTTTATTTGTTTTTGCTTTTTTTTTTTCCTGTGTAGAAGTAATCTGTTCTCGTTGAGATAATTTGGGCTTGCATCCTATAAAACTTTCACTGACGTTTATTTGCTGCTGTATCAACATACAGAAAGTTATCTGAATTTCTTTGTCCTGGCTTCACACTAGTTTAATTTTTACATTTCTTAAAATTAATTCTTAAATGTTTTTAGGCTTCAAAAGGTTAAGATGGTAATGCCTGTTGTTTGGTTAAATTGTATGTGCTGTGACATAAATAAAAGTTACACTTGCTAATGTAGTTTGTTTTAATTTCAGGCCTGCATCTCGTCGTAAGCCTGAATATGAGCCATCGTTAAGCACAGATGAGGCACAAAAAAAATTTGGCAATGTAAAAGCAATTTCATCAGACATGTATTTTGGAAGGCAAGATCATGCTGATGTAAGTAGAAGACAGTGGTAGATATTTTTGAATGTTCAAATATTCTTTGGCCATAGAACGTGGTATTTGAGATAGCAAGAGTAGGCAATGAGTAATTAAAATTGGTAGAATTAGGGTAAGTCTGGTAAGGAGGAGTTTGCAGAACTAAATCCATTTGAATATTTGCTTGACAGAAATTTAGAAGTCTCAGGTAACTCTGGTAGTTTGTTATTTCCTTTTAAGGAGTTGCAGCTGTAAGTAGGACCTTAACTGTAACATAATTGTTCTCTGATAGAGATTATGATTCAGAAATGATTATTTATGAAAGAATCAGCCTGAGGTTGGGTGAATGCTTGCTTACTTTCTTTTCAAGTAGTATCTAGTAAATACCAAAAGGGATGTTAATAAGCTATTAAGCAAGCAGCTGTCTCCTCTGTCTGTCGTAATGTTAAGTAAGCACAAAAATTGTTCAACAAATCGCCTGTAATTGGACCAGCCTAAGAATCAAAAAGAGATTAATATTGTGGTGAATTTTTGAGGTGAGGCGTAATTTGTAATACTCTAAACAGTAAGGTAAGGATATGAGCGATGTGTTACTCACAAGAAGTTTTGTTAAAAGCATCATGAGATCAGAAAGGTTAATATGATGCTAACTGCAGTGCATTTTTCTTGTCCCACCCAACCAACGAATTTCTTTGTTTTTTTTTAGTAGTTGCATACTTCATTCTCCTCCACCTATTCAGTAATTGCCTTTTTTAGACGAGGCAACTGTAAATAGGCCACTGATAGAGTATTGCAGTGGTAAACGTCACTCTTTGAACAACTTGGAAATGAGTTGAGATGACAAACTTGCACTGTGTAAGTCATGTGAAAACTATTAAACGGTAACATCTTTAGGAATTGTCACCCTCAGCTGGTTTTGTGTGTTGTAAAACTGAATCTATAACCTCATTATGAATGAACATGAACACAAAAGATGGGAGTATACTGATATGGTAATTTTTCTTCTCAATTCTTTCCTAGTATGAAGCTAGAGCTCGACTAGAGAGACTTTCTGGAAGCTCCTCTATAAGTTCAGCTGACTTGTTTGAAGATCAGAAAAAACAACCAACAGGTATTGAACAGAAAGAGAAACTGTATTATGCTGTGGCATATACTCCGGTATTAAGAGTCTCTGCCTCTAGATCCATTGTCAGTAAGCTAGCTGTCACCCTGTTGTGCCAGAAGTATGCAAAGTGCACAATGCATTAATATTACTAATAGTTCAAACAAGCATGACAGGTGTAATTATTATTTTCATAAAAGTAATTTTTTTTTAAGTTCAAGTTAAGTAGCATAATATTTTGAACTGATTTTTATGTGAAGTATTTGCTGCATATGATAGACTGACAGTAAGATTGCAGATCTACCTGATAGATTTTCTCATGTGTGTTTATAACAAAATACTACAGTTTTCATTTGATAGAAATGATTTACCCTTACAATCAGTCTATCATGTAGTTCTTTTTTTATGTTATGAGTTACTTTACATTTAGAATTTTGTGCATGTAAAAATAACTGTCATAATGATATTAAATCCAAAAGGAGTCATTAATAAAATGTTAGTAGGCTTGAAATTCTTATGTAATCTATTGCATGTTATATCCCTTCATCAGGATATCTGCTTCTAACACTGGTCTTGCCACATTATTAAGAAAATTGTGCAATTGGTCTGTCCGAGTTCAAAAGATTTGTTGGAACACCTTACATTGGTGGGTCTACTTCATCAAAATAGAATGGAAAGAGGATTCTTAAAAAGAAAAGATTAGATTTGCTGAAACATAGCCCCTTAGGATATTGAAAACCTCATATGTTTTCTGCCTAACAACCATTTTGGGTAATACAATAATGTGAAATTGAAAAGAAAGAAATATTGGAACAGTTTTTTGGGTTTCCTTGTGTCACTGGTGAAGAAATGGAAAAAAAAAAATAAAACTTCTTGAAGAACTCAAAATCTATGAGTAATTATATAAATAGGCTGGAAAAGGAAACAGTACTCAGCATATGATTTTACTTTGGAAAAGTTGGAGGGGAAAAAAAAAACATATGACTGTTCGGTCTCTATGCCCTGAATGCAAATTTTGATGCAAGTATACTGGCTAATAAAGAAATAATTTCTGTTACCAGTTACTTAAGTTAGTTTTTAGTCTATTAAACTGTAATAAAAAAAAAAAATCAAAGAAGGAAAAGGAGGGGATGACGCATAAGCAATGAATTGCTGTAACTGACTTTAGCCAGTTGAAAGAATATTTGTAAAATAATGTCATAGTTTTTAAAAAAAAAAGGTGCCTGGAGGCATAGGCAAAGAAATGGTGTTTCTTTGTAACCTCTAATGTTTTCAGAAATGCTAATGAATATTATAGGGTGTAATTTTTTTTTCCTTTTTTCTTTTAAATTTTTGCATATAAATGATTTTATATGGAATCAACCATACTTTTCCTTCAATTTGTGTAATGTGTGGGGTTTTTTTTTACACACTAATGAGTAAGAGAATGAATTAGGAACAGGTAGATTAAATATTGGGCAAATTATGTTCTCTGAAAGTATTTTGGATTTTGTTCAACCGGTTAAAACTCAGCTAGAGCTTCAACTGTGTGGTGTCGTTTCAAAATAGGCTGTAAGTATCCCTACTCAGAATATGGTACGTGAGGATTCTGTAGTGCGTATGTGTGTGTATATAGATGTAATACAGAATATATAAAGAATTTGAACCTTTTTATGTACACATGCACATATGCATATATGTGTTGGAATTCTCACCATATCCTGAATAAAGACTAGTTGCAGGTAATTACATAGCTTTTACATATGTATATGTGGATTTTGCACATGTAGTCATTCAGTATTGACCAATTGGAGTAGTTCTCAGGCATTTGGAATACAAACAAAAATTCCTAATAATGGAATGAAAAAGTCTTCCTAAATTTCTAGGTTAGTTACTGGCAATTCTGTTATGTAATCCCACAGTAAATTTATATTACAAAGACTAAACTAATTTTAATAAATTTTCTGGGTTGTGTTGCTCTAAAATAGTACTGAGGAAAATACACTAGGAATTAGATTTTTTTCTAATTCACATTGAATACAATCTGTAGAATATTTTTTTCCTGCCCCCCCCCCCCCCCCCCCCCAAAAGAAGTCTGTTTTTGGACAATGACCCTGCTTTGACAAATTTTCCTACGCTTGATAGCTTGTCATGTAAAATTAATGCCAAGGCCACCATCAATTCCATAAAATAAGAATTAAACAAACAAACAAACAGGAGACTGGGAACTGGCAACAAAAATACTGCTGAAATTATGGGGTCTTTGCCAGAATAAAATGTCCTTTGAAACTGAAGTTGTTTTCATTAGTGCTGTTGAGATTTTAGGGTAAAACTCTTTCAGGATGCTTGCCTTTATACAGAATACTGTAGAATCTTTTTGCCAAAAAGAAGCACCACGGAGGGCTGCAAGAAAAACCTTTTACTCAACATGATTTCAGACCTATTGCTTATGGAAAGAAGGAGATAAAAGATGGCTAATTCACAGATGCTAATATTGAAGGAAATTACAAAGGAAAGAATCGTTTTCCCATCTCATTTACAAGATTTTTTCCAGACGAGCATATGTAACTAGAAAAACATGAGAAAATTAATTTGGTTGAGAACTGATTAGAGCTTTGCTCCAGTTATTTATAGCTAGCATTTTTATTTCTGTTATTCTGGCTCTAATAACAAACATGTGGAAGAACTTGTTATATGGAACAGATGATAAGAAAGTCAGAATTACAATTCAGAGATAGTGATGTCTCTCAGTGATGGTGAATTTTTGAATCGATATGGTAATACTCATTTTGCTAAATAATGTGTAGACAAGCGTGCCCCCCGTGCATTACAGAAACAGCTCCTAGCAGACTTTAAAGAATAGGATTGCAAGCTTACCAAATATGACCATGCATCTTTCATTGTGAACCAGACATTTGGCTTTAATAAATCAGCTTAGGCACAATGATATCTGTCTCAGCTTGTTAACAAAGTCATCTTTTCTCTTCCATAAGAAGAGGAGCTGCAGGTTATATATCCCATGGCAAGGGGAAGGGAGGAGAAAAAACAAAACAGAGGAGGCAGAAGTGGGCTGGCTGTACCTTTGGAGGGTCATGCTGGGCTATATCATATATAGAAATGTTTTGTATGGGGCAGCTGTCAGAAGGTGTTACATTCTGAAGACCGTGGTGTCTGCAGTTGTGTGGGCTCGTGTGCAGTTTGATGAGCGCACACAGTTATCGGCTGTGTACATGACCGATCATGACCATCAGTTGGGTACGTGCCTGAACTAAGGCTACAGTTGGCAATCTCCATTTTGAGAAAAAGGTGATGTATAGGGATTGCTGGCTCTTAGTCCGTTCTTGGTACGCTGCCTCTCAGGAACCCCATTTATACCCGAGATCATAGTTCTGTAATGCTCTTTTCCTGCCATTTGTATCTTTGGCTGTGTTTTACAGTATTGGATACTTAGCTTAGAATATTTGCAAATACTTTGCAATATTAAGGCATGGTAGGAATTATTTTTGCTAGTGAGTGGGTGATTGTGAACGGGTTGTGCTGGCACGTTGATATTTATCATACAGTTAATTTTGAAACATCTTTGGTTTCCCTTATCTTTAGGTCTGTATTTCTCATAATGAGTAGAGCTAACAACTACTGGTAAAACTATAAAAGCTTTCTCTCTGTCGGCTTTGAGGGAGGGTGGAATGCCAGCTTTGTTTTGGAATTTTAAAATTTAGTATGTAAATGACGGTTACTATAATTCCCATAGAATTTTCCAAATCTCAGGTGTGTATATACAGCAAGTATACCTCTGCATGTGCACAAAAAGGATTCACTTTACCCACCACTGAAAGGCATTCATCTTTGAAATTAAACGTGATAATTCTCTAATAACCGTTATAATGGTTTATACAACTGTTCAGGGTACAAGGAAAATAACATGGCAACTGGTCAAAATTGCAGAATAAATCATGTATTATCCAAACACTAATTGCTTAGCTGGGAATTCAAGCATTTGCACCCATAGGTTGGGTGCAAATATGAACAAATGAAAAGTTTAAAATAAAAGCAAGGTGCATTTAAGAAATTTGAAGTTTCACGCCTGGTAGGTTTTGCCGTGATGATCACACCTTCATATTTAGTGCTCCTCATAATATATGCTACTTCGGGGGGGAAAAAAAGGCTGCTTTTAATACAAAATTCTGTTTTCTTCTTGTATGTGTGTTCTGCCTTTAGGAAGCTACAACATTACAAATGTCTTGCCTTCAGCTCCTGATATGGCTCAGTTTAAACAAGGCGTGAAATCAGTGGCTGGAAAACTTTCTGTACTTGCTAATGGGGTCATGACATCTATACAGGTTAGTAAAAATGTTATAACATAATAAACATCAGTTAAAATTTTCTTGTAGGGATTTAGTATCATGAATCGTGCTGTTGGATGATACCTAGGGAGAAAAGAAGGAATTTGTTTCATGTCTCTCATGCTAGACAGTAGTTCTTTACCTTTTTAAAAATAATTTTCTAGTTGATAGCTTGCTTACCTTCCTCAGATTTTTTTTTTTAAAACTTCTCTTGCATAGTTTTTTTTTTCTTCTTAAAATAGGAACACAAATTCCATCATGGAAGTTACTTGCTGTTACCTTATTATTAAAGTAGGAATAGCTTAACTCTTGTATTGTCTGTTCAGTACAATATTGCGCACCAAAACTCTTGTATTGTCTTGGCAGTAACCCCCTAAATCTGTTTTTGCGCACCAAAGTAAAGCATCCTCTTCTCAATGGTGTATGGCACACTACGTTCTCCAATTAGTTTTTGTTTCCTGTATGCGTTCAGTGGGAGCTGTTGGATGCCTTGTGAAAACAGGCTGATTATCCTGGAGTTTAACTGTAAGCTCCAGTTCTTGGAAACCATGGTCAATTTTCTCAGAGGCTTTAAGAATTAAACTACTATTTCTTTTACAAAAGTAGGTAAGACTAATTTCTTTCAATGGGAAACATAGCCATAACTGTCTGCTTTTTTGCTTTTCTAGGATCGATACAGTTCATAACCTCTTGCATATCAACATAAGTACACTAAAGAAGAATTTATCTTCCGATAAACCAGTAATCACACTGCTGATTCACGTGAAGGTTGCCTTAAGAGTGTAGATGCTTTTAATTGTTCCAGAATATTTGTTTTTTCATGTGACTTTCTGGCTCAGCCTCTTCTTCTGCTATTTCATCTTTACAGAGCAGATATCTTGTAGGAACTTGTTACATCACGAATGCTTTTTTCTTTTCCCTTACAGTGTTGTATTTCCGTTAGTGGCCTCAATGCTATATGTTGGAAGTCTTATTTTATTATTGTTTTTGGCCTTGAGACAGGAAGAGAAAGAAAGATGGACATGTACACTAAAATGAGACTTTCTGACAGAAACCTCTGTGGAGCTGCATCCTTCCTTAGTTGCCAGACATAGCTTGTCTTCTGATTTTCTTATGAGCTATGGAGAGGAAAATTTAAATCAAGCATATACTGAGATGGTATTTAGTGGACTGTAGCAAAATATAGAATTGAGTTTAACCTGTGCTTGTCAGAAAGTAGAAGCTCTTGTGGTTCATAAATTGATGTGCATTAAAATGATGGCGAAATACTGCTTTAAAACAATATTCCTGGTACAAAATGTTATGCTTAGATGTGAAGTTAGGAAGGAGATAAAAGACGCCTGGTATATTAAATAATGGATTTCATTTTGTCACGGGAACAATCTATTTATTCCTAATTTTGAACATTATGAAAAATTGCAATATAGAATCCTTAAGTGCTTTTAAACAATCTGTATTGTGTACAAAATGAAAAAATATATAAAGGGCCTAAGAGTAGTTAATAAAGTGTTTGTTAAGAATTTTTAGAACAATCTTATTTTTTTGATGAATTATGAAGTATTAAAGGAGGAAATATAGTGGGACTGTGTTTTAGACAGTCGAGAACTTATTGTTGATGACATCTTGTATAAAAAAAAAATTGTAACCCTAAAAACCCACAATGAAAAATGAACTTCAGCTAATTCTGTTCTGTAACTTTATTTCTTAATTGAAATTTGTAAACTGCTGATATCTAATAAAAACAATTGATATAAACTGATTTTTTAATTAAATTTATATGTGGAGGACGCCAGTCTGCAAATTTCCTAAATACTGCAATTTGTATTCTGTCTATACAATGATCTCATAATTAGCCTTTAATTTCAATTAGTGAAACTAGCTTTCATATTAAGTTGCTATAGAGGTTTAAAAAAGCAAAACAGTAAGGATGGGGTGGGAAAATAAGCTACCATATTGAAATACTGTGTTTGAAACACAGTTAATTTAGTGTGGTTGTGTTTGTTTTCTCTCACTTGTAACTTTCTGCTGTGGCTGTTGTGTTTAGATTTATTAATCCAAAAATGATACTACTTTTTTGAGAGAAGTACAGTATAAGCATTTGTCCTGCTTAATTGTAGAGCTTTACTATAAAAGACTCCATCTCTATGCTGTAGAGAAAATATCCTAATATAGCTAAACAAGAAAATATTACTGGTCAGGGCTAACTTTGGTTTTCTCTAAATGCAGTTACAGATTGTCAGTTTTTAGGCTACTCTGTTAAGTCTACACTCCATAATAAATATATTACATCTAATAAACAGTCTGATTTTCAGAGTTGCTATGAACTGACAACACCTAGTGACCTGCAAAAGAGCTGCTCCTGTGGTAACCAGACTGCATATATAGACACTTGAATATGGATGCAGTTGCTTAATTTAAGGCAATAACATACAATGAAATATAGTTCTGTTACCTCTTTGTAGAAAAAATAAACTAATGCTCCGCTCTTGCTCCTTGAAAGGAAAAGTGAGGGCTAAGTGGTTTCTCATATGTAACAGTGTTTGAGAATACCTACATAGAAATATTTTTTCTGCAACATTGTAATAGTGAACCACTCACAGATGGAAAAATGTGAAAAAAGGATATTTTTGGTACAAAATAAGAACTTTAGAGTTATTTTAAATGCCCTAAAACATGTGCAACGCTCTAATAGTGTATAAACTTCTTTCCCTTTGCTGCAGTCTGGGAATTGTCCCATAATGTTCTCTTTAAGGGTGAACAGCAATTCAGTATGTACAGAAACATTGTCCAGGGCACCATAAAAAAAAAAATTACTGGTTTTGTGCCTTCATTTGTTGCTGCAGATTCTGTATGGCAACCTGTGCACCACTGATACCTTCTCTTGATGTAATGGCTGGGCAAATAGTTCTTGACCTCCCATGCACCTGTTTGTGTCTTTAATAAACACAGTAAGAACTTGAGGTGTTCCTAGGTGTTATCAAATAGAGGTGGGGAGGGATTGCCACATACCCAGCAAGGAGCCAGCTTTAGCTCCTGTAGTCTCCTGGGATTTCTGGATGCCTGGGATCTCAGGTGGCACCACTGGGCCTTCATCGTCCTGATCCTATGGGATTTAATTGGACAGGATCAAAGAGAGGAAAAATATGACCTTTACCTAAAATTAGGTTTGCATTCTTGCTTTCTTGTGGATGCCCTTCCTTTTTCTCATCTTTTGCCTTCTTATAGCTATCTTTCAAACGCAGTTGTCAGAGGGGCAGGCAACTGATGCTGCTACGAGTTTGAAAAGTTTAGGATAGGTGATAAAACCATGTATTGGGTCTGTTTTTCCAAAAAGTTTGCAAGTGAAAGTTGGTATTGGTCACCAGTTGCATTTTGTTTCAGTTTTTCCTGTCTTAATCCCCTCTCAATACATTTATAAATCTTGCTTTTTCAAAGCTGGAACTGAATGGCGGCAGCAGCAACTGTGAACCCCTTAAGTTAAGCTTTCCTCTTTTACTCAAAGATGATGTTGGCCAATAAAGACCTTCGCCTAGGTTTCTGCCTCCATTAAAAGTCAAGGAGTGAAGCTGGACTTGACATAAAATGGTGTGTGCTTGATTTGGGTTTTGTGTGCTTTCACACAAATTAGCTTTTTTTTTGCATATGTAACTTGGGCACACCAGACTGGATTATTTTTGATCAGTATCGGCCAGACCTACGTCCTTCATACTTGGAGGTGGCTGGGGCAGCGCAAAGGAGAAGCGTTTCAGCCATCCTCCATCCTGGTGCTCATGGCTTCAAAGAGAAGCAGTAGCACTGCCTCTGTCTTTCTGCAGCATCAGCTGCAGCTGGCAGAGTACGTTACTTCCAATCCAATTTAGAGGCTCTCAATTTACATTTACTATTAGTTTTTGTTTTTTAAAGCCTTGAAAGGCAATCTAGCCACATGGTCTCTTAGACAAGGCAATATGATCTCACGGTACTTTTTAGGCTTTAATTTTTGTGATACTTTTCCTTCCCGTAAGGAATGTTGCTTTCTTTTCAAGACGATGTGAAAATAGAGAAGCACAGTCCTGATGAAGGAGTGCAGACAGCTTCGTGGTGCTCTATGGGGAGGTAGAGGGCTCTCTACATCCTGTTTGCAGGCTACACAAGAACAGTTCTGCCTCCAGCCTTCGAGGGTGCACCTTCTTCAGCCAACTCCCAGTTTTTGGAGCGAAAGGGGGAAAAGACACTGTAAAGCACTTGAAACTGCTCTCTACCTTCAGCTTGGCTCACAGCTCTGTACTAAAGCTCTGCAACACTTAATTTCTTCATTTGTAGCTTCAGATTTTGTGTGGTTTTGTTCCTGTACCCTTTGGTTGTCTCTAAAAGCAGGTTCTTGATTTTAAAGATACCTATTTCTGCATCTTAGCTAATTAGAGCTCAAATCAATTGCCTGTTAGGGGCATCTGCTGCCATTTGAGAAGCCTTGGAGTATCCTGCCTGGCGTCTGGCTGCCACACCAAAAGGTGTGGGTCTCCTTAGTGCGGTGTCATCAACTGTGTATGCAAGGGTATCTAAGCTATCTACAAGCGGGCACATGGATAGGGCCCTACGAAGCTACTTTCTTTTAAGCGACGTAGATCTCTCCCCACCGTTTGTAGGACTATCTATGTACTTAGAGCAAGGACTCCTATATTTTAAGTGGCAGATTGATGTGGAAGAGCTGTGGTTCTGCTTGGTGAAGGGTGGCAAAAATAAGTATGTTGTTGGCAGGCTGGTTTGAGAAGACATACAGCTGGAGTGTCAAGGAGGCAAAGTGCAGACAATAGGGGTAAGTAGGAGGCAAATTTGGTGAAGGAGATGGTGGAGATCCTACACTGCGATGGGTGTACAGCACAAGAGTAGAGGATACTGCAGTCTGATGTTTGTAAGGCAAAGTCTTTATTGGCCCATCAGCTTACCAGCTGACATAAAAGAGGCTTTATATCTGTATTTATAAGGTTGATACGGCTGCTGTTGGCTTCTGTTACTGTAATGATTATGGGGGCTAAGTCCTTACAGTGATGAAGATGGTACAGTGCTTTGTGGATCTGAGGACTGCTAGCAGAACAGCTTGCTCAGAAGCGGTACAGAAACCAGAATGAAATTATTCCGATAAATGCGTTGCCTTTCCAGCACTTATCTCCACTCAGTGCTTCAAAGGTTTGGCATGTGGAGAAGGGATGGTGTCGCCTCAGTGATGCCGCGAAAAAAGGTTCCTTTTTTTCTGTAAAGCCCAGCTGCTGGGCAAAACTTCTGCCCAGAGCAGGGCAAGAGCTGGGGCTATTACTGGAAATGAAGAAGGTGGGGAGAAATGGAAGCGGCTAAGGTTTCTTCAGAGAAAGATTTCACTTTTGTTATCCAAGCAATACTCATCTGCCCAACTCTAGCCAATCCCTCACTGTCTGGGCAGTGCCTCCATGGATAGGCAGTCCACGAACCTCACGGTGCGCGGGCAAGAGATAACCACTTCTAACTCTGCATAATAATCACTTATAAAAGCAGAATTGGAGCTGGATTGGCTACGTATAGTAGCTGGCCATTGAAAAGGCACCTGTTTTCTTTTTCCCTTTTCTCATTACATGGATTGTTATCAATTTTTGCGTCGCTTTCTGGTAATACATAATGCGCTCATAACGTCTCCTGTTGGTCTGACAGTTCTTTCCTGCTTATATCAAGATTACTTGGTGCTGTAATAATTCATGATTAATGCGATTACAAATGCGAGCAATGCTGGGAGGAGATCCAGCAGCACTGATAGGATGTTTTTGAGACGCGCAGTTCAGAAGTTTGGCCAAGTGGAAGGGAATGGGCTGTATTTTGTTTGTAACTGGCTGAACTGAGCGATTTTCCCATCCGCATTTGCTGCTACTTGTTTCAGTATCTGAAAATGGCTATTATGTTTTTTAATACTGAAAATTACCACCCCGTCTCTCTCTGATGCATGAGAAAGAAAATAAGGGAAATGCAAAACTACGAGTGGCATCTCTAGCTAGAGAAACGGTGTTTCACAGCAAACAGCCATAGAGAAGGAGTTTGCTTTTAACACCTGGTTGCAACAGGGAACAGATGACATGGAACTGAAAGTGCTATTTAAGATACAGCAGATGCTGCTGGCACTCCAGCAATCTAGCGACGGAGTTGTGTTTTCGTTGGCTTCAAACCCGGGTGCGTGCCCCCTCTCCTGCTCCCTGGCTGCGCTTCGTCACCCTCTTTTCCTGCCCTCTGCCGTTAAGGGTAGGACAAGCTGGGTAAGAAAAAACAAACCCGGAGGCAACACAGTTGTGGGGACGGGTTTGGTTTGGGAGTTTTGAGCATCGTTTAGGTGAACCAGTTTTCCAGACCTACGCAAGAGCTGTATAACCAGCAGGGGAGGTAGTGAACTGGGGAGGGACTGCTTAAACAGGCTCTGCTGGCCAAGAAAAGTGAAGTGCAAGTTTTCTATCAGAAACAGCTGCAGTGGTTTTTTTCTGAAATTCTCTGTGGCATAAAGATGTTAAAGCCTTGCAAGTCTGTTTACGCTGAGCCTGGGGAACGGGCTGCAACTCGTCGCATCTTACTGATGTAGGATTTGCTGTTAAGAATGTGTTAAAAACAGTAGCAATGTTAATTCATGAAAATCACGGAGTGAACCCAGTCTGCTCTCGTGAACGCACCACTTAAAAAGAAGAAAATATGTCAAAAGCATATAACTAGGATATTTCTTTTATGTCATGGTTTGTGAGGCTATTTATTAATGCAACTGGGGGAAATTGA